CCTTAACGTTAAACTACTCACCCAGAGAGAAACACCCAACTCTACCTCCCCCCGCAGGTTGGGTGGTTATCAGGTGTCGCCTCTCTCTGACTTCCCCCCGGTGTTCCAGTGCGCCAGCTGGAAAGGGGAGAGCGTGGCGGGCCCGCCCAAGGTGCCAGTCTTGGGCGGTGTCCAAGTCCCGCCCAACCGGATGACTTCTGCAAATGAATTGCGCGAGGGTCCATCAGCAATATTGCTTTTGGACTCCACGTGATCAATATATATATGCAACTTCAGTTTCGCGGCTGTTAGCCAGAAGGCTCCGACAAGATTCGAACTGTCGGGTTGGGGGAAATAGCCTTTCACTAGGTTGGGGGCAGCACTATCGTTGTCAACATACAAAAGTACAGAGCGCTCTTGAAGTTGCTGGCTCCAGAGCTCGAGTGCCCACAGTGGTGCGACTAGTTCTAGCTGACCCATGTAGGATTTACGTGGGCGCCAAGATTGTACCATTGAGTGGGGAACCTCCTCTGTGGAGTACATGAGTTGGTGTGAGTCTGGGATGAAAAGGACTGCCCCAACCAGTCGTTGTGGCTGGCGACCCGGAACGTCGGAGGCGTCGGTGTACAAAACGATCGGTGGAGTATCCTTCAACGCGAGTTCGCGTGAGGGACAGTATTCAAGGAAAGCCAGCATCATGTTGAGTGACCATCTGATATCAGGGGTCAGGCCTTGGAACTTGTGTTGGGAGTACTGGCGTTTACGCAAAGGACCTGTGCAACAGCGGCCTACCTTTCCAAACAAGGTGGAGCAGAGGAAGCCAAACTTCCCAACGAGACTGGCTGCCAAAGCAGCTGAAAGTTGACCTGACGTCAGTACCTGATTGATGGTCTCACAAAGATTGGTGATGCGAGAAGGCTTAGCTTCCAGGTGAATCCTGCGTTCCACCGCAAGGCACTGGGTGGAGAACATGATGCCAAGGATGGCGCAAGTGCGCGACGGAGGTTGCGACTTGTCTGGATCGAGCTGAAAGCCCAGTTCCGTAAAGAGAGCTTTTAAACAAAAGAGCGATGATTCGATGGTAGGAGAGGGCTCCAGGCAAAAGAAATCGTCAAAGAAGTGGTCGGAGAAGGTGTGAAACAAGCGAACTGAGCAGCGGGATATCCACTCCGCCACTCGGCAAAAATTGGGTACAGAGTGGCCGGCGCCGAAAGGCTGTCCGTACATTTCGTGGAGTGAGACTTCGTCAACGTCCGGGTTGTACACTCCGGTGATGGCAAACCTGACGTCAGCAGGGTGGAGTGCTATTTGTCGGTAAGCGGACTTCATATCTTCTATGGCCAGCTGGATCGACGTCGACTGGGCGGCCAGTGCCTTGAGCATCACACCAATGTAATCAACCATCGTCATGGGAACTTTTTGTAGCCTATGGGCCACCTGGTTTACGCCTGATGCCGTGTGGTCATCGATTCGGCGGAACTTGGCGCCTTGAGCCAGGCCGAAACTTGGTGTGACCTGCACCTCCACGCCATACTTGGCCTGGGCTTGGTCCAGTGTAATAGCTGGACCCATGGTACCGGCTTCAATCTCCCGTTGGGTCTTCTCCCAGATGGCCTTCGCCATCTCTGGGGAACCCTTCTGGGCCATGTGCCGGACTCTTTCGATCATAGCCAGTGATCTCTCTTGACATCCTTTCAAGAATGTGTCATGTGACATCACTGGCCTGACTTCGAAGGGCTCGAAGAAAGGGGAGGTTTGCGCCTTCCCTGTGATACGCATCCCCGTGAGGCACAGCTGGGGAACTTCCGTGTCCTCTATGTGCAACAGGGTCTGCAGCTTCTCCATCAAACAGGCGTTGGGCTTGGTGCTGAGTCTTTGCGCCGTCCAGGCTGCCTTTGCATTTGCTCGCCTCTGCTCAGCAGCCAGCTCAACTTTGAGTTTTCTGACCTTGGCGAGCTGTTCGAGGCGGTAACGAACCAGAGTCGACGGATTCCCCGCCAGGGCTTTTATTGACTCCTGGTGATCCGTCTTAAGAGTTGCCATTGATGAGAATGGATGCTGCAACTTGCAAGCTTGCTGAAGGTGTGCGGCAGCATCGTTCAGCCCATTGGGTATGAGCTGTTGCCTCTTCCCAAAACTTGGCTGTTTAGCGGCCTCCACTGCTTGTGCTCGTGGCGGCGCTGACTCGGCTGTAGGAGTCTCACCAAGTGCGGTCTCTGGAACTCCAGGCACTGGTGTCACTGACGCCGAGGCACTGGACGATGCTTGTGGTTCCATATGCCCATCAAGGAGTTCTGATTTCTCGAGCCCTGGGGGTGTGACGGTGCCTGGAGGGATCGGGGACGGGACTCCCCAGGCTTTCGCCAAAGCACATGAGAGAGGTGCGTTTGGCCCGGAGAAGACTTCAACGAATGACTGGATGGGGTTTTGTGTGGCTTGAACTATGGCTTGTGCGTATGTCTCACAGAATCCCTCTGGGTACTCCCTCTCTAGGCCGGTTGCGAAGGAGGTCACTCTTCCCTTCTCAACCCTCGGCTTCCAGGAAAGGTGGGGCTTTCCGGTGCGTGTACAAATCCTACTGCTGTTACAAATTAAATTTAAATTACTGTTCAATAGGGGAATGTTGTGGATGAGGATCTGGGCTTTCCTCCTCGCACTCCCCTTGAACATGCACGAATGGTATTCCGTGGCCCACACCCCTTCTTCCGCCTCCAAGTCTTTCCAGGATTCCAAGTCTCTGGCGATGGAGTTCTTCGGATGCTCCAGGGTGAAGTACTTCCCCGTGCGCTTGGCCTTCAGGCAGTTTAAAGCAGCCATGTTAGCCATGCGTGTATCCAAGTTCAACTTGCGTTGTTTCGAAGCGGGGAGACTGGCTACCAACAGAGGTTAAGAGGACGTATGGGCTATAGTGGAAATCTCGGCCACATAGTTCGACTATATGGTCTGGCTTGGCCACATAATATACCCACGGCCAACTGGCTTGGAATGTTGTCGCTTGTGTGCGAGGCCGCATTCTTTTGGAAGGTTTCCTCAAGGAAAATAACGTTGTCAAAAAGATGCAGAGCCTTAAAATGCTAGCGGCTAGCGGTTCGGGGGCCAGAACAGTCCAGAAACATAAAAGTGGCGACGGGGCGGTTGGCGCCAAAGCTGAAGTGCATTGCACGCGCTGATGCAAACAAAGTCCATTAGAACAAGCCGATTAGCGCCACAGCATAATAAATATGTTTGATTCGGGTTGAACGACTATAACTGACAAAGGGAAAAGGTCCTCTGGAATTTCATAACGGGCCGGGTATAGTTTGGAAACATGCAACTGGGGCAGTCCGCAAGGAAAAACCTTCACACAAATTATCAAAGCTGGTATAGAGAAAAGAGAAACCAAAAGCAAGGACAGCGGTCCAAAAAGATCGTCGTCGAAGTCATAACGGGCCAGGAGGTCGGAAAAGAAATTCATAACGGGCCAGGTGGTCGGGAAACATGAACTTCATGACGGGGGCAGGTGGGCGGGAAACATGAAATTCATAACGGGCCAGGTGGTCGGGAAACATGAAATTCATGACGGCGGAGGTGGTCGGGAAACATGAAATTCATAACGGGCCGGGTGGTCGGGAAACGTGAAAATCATAACGGGGGAGGTTGTCGGGAAACGTGAAATTCATAACGGGGGAGGTGGTCGGGAAACATGAAATTCATAACGGGCCAGGTGGTCGGGAAACGTGAAATTCATAAGGAGGGCGGGAAACATGAAATTCATAACGGGCCAGGTGGTCGGGAAACGTGAAATTCATAACGGGTGGTCGGGAAACATGAAACTCATAACGGGCCAGGTGGTCGGGAAACGTGAAATTCATAACGGGCCAGGTGGTCGGGAAACATGAAATTCATAACGGGGGAGGTGGTCGGGAAACATGAAATTCATAACGGGCCAGGTGGTTGGGAAACATGAAATTCATAACGGGCCAGGTGGTCGGGAAACGTGAAATTCATAACGGACCAGGTGGTCAAGAAGCGTGAGATTCATAACGGGGGAGGTGGTCGGGAAACATGAAATTCATAACGGGCCAGGAGGTCGGAAAACATGAAATTCATAACGGGCCAGGTGGTCGGGAAACGTGAAATTCATAGCGGGCCAGGTGGTCGGGAAACGTGAAACTCATAACGGGCCAGGTGGTTGGGAAACGTGAAATTCATAACGGGGGAGGTTGTCGGGAAACATGAAATTCATAACGGGCCAGGTGGCTGGGAAACATGAAATTCATAACGGGCCAGGTGGTCGGGAAACGTGAAATTCATAACGGGGGAGGTGGTCGGGAAACATGAAATTCATAACGGGCCAGGTCGTCGGGAAACGTGAAT